TCCTGGAACTTGTCAACTTCTTTCTCCTTTCTCTTTAGCAGTTCATTGTCTCTCTTCTCTTCCATCTCTGTTAGCTTCAACATTATGAATGCTCTAAATTCCTTATCAGACATTTCCATGATTTTCACTGAACTGCTTGTGGATGAAGAAGAGTTACTCTTTTCCCTTGGAGGAGAGGTATTTTCCTGTTTTCCCATATTTCTTGTGATCCGGCGGTGATTTCCTGTCATCTGATGGATGGTGTGTTTCTTTCAAATTCTTGAAGTTCAGTCTGAATGTTCAGGAGCAAGCAGACAGAGGTGATCTAGAATCTCTTTGCCGTTCTGTTGTGGTTGCTGGTGTAGCAGATTCAGTAGATATTGAGGAATATTTTAACCCTATTAGTATTTGGATGTTTAGCTACAGTGCTCTTAGATCCGTCTAGTTCGCAGGAGCCATGGGGAATCGTCTTTTGAAGGCCAGGCCTCTCCTGCCTGGGTGGGAGGACTAGAGCAATAATTAACAAGATAAGAGGTGGAGCTGAGAGCAAGAGAAAAACTTTGCCGCTAGCTTGTTTGCTGGAGGCTGAATTATCAGTAGAAAATCTTCATTTTTCGTGTGCCCTGAATGTGCAAAATCTTAAGAGAATGGAAAAGGGATTGCGGTGTGGCCATCTCTGAGGGGTGATTTCTCCCTTTCCTTCTCTCTATCTCTCTCTGGCAAGCACATGTGGCCAAAACCTTTTAAAAAAAAATCCTGATGGGCCAGTTTTTAAAACGTTATGCTAAAATTTTCCTCTTTAATAACTTATTTTCATTTTAAAGTCTATTTCATTTGCTATAAATATTGCCAGATCAGTTTTCTTATGGTTATTTTTCCTTGGTGTCACTTTTACATCAAATTTGGGAACTTTTCAGCATTATTTCTCTGAGTATTTAAATAACATCTTTAAATTTATTATTATTAATTTGCTATAGACACATGTACTCACCAGAGACAGAGAGAGAGAGAAGAAAATACATAGAGAGAAGCATCTGACAGCGTCCTGTCACAATGCACTCTCTATTCCTACCCCTCCACCTCAGAATCCTGCATATCTGTGTGCCTAGCATAGTTTTCAGGCTGACCTGGGATCTGAATCACAGTCACCACATGGCTTCCAGCACTGCAGGTGTATCACAGCTTCTGGGCTGACTCCTAGACACTATTAATTATTTTTTTAAAGAATTATTTAATTTTATTATTGTTATTTTAATTTGCTGTATGGCATGTGTGCTTACGAGACAGAGAGAGAAGGAGAGAGAGAGAGAGATCGAGAGAGAAAGTTAGAAAGCAAGTTGCTGGTCAGCGACTTGAACCATGGTTGACCATTGCTGTATGACATGTGTGCTTACGAGAGAGAGAGAGGAGAGAGAGAGATCGAGAGAGAAAGTTAGAAAGCAAGTTGCTGGTCAGCGACTTGAACCATGGTTGACCATGTATGAGTCCAGCACCTTTACTGCCACACCACCTGCTGGCCCTAATGATTTTTGAAGTGTTCTTCCCAGTTAAATCTTTTCTCTTGTTGAGGAGAATGACTGCTTTTATCTTCAAACTACTATTCTGGAAGTCTTGCTTCTGTTGGCTCTATTTTAGTAGTGTATATTACAGTGTATAGTCTCATGTAATGCTTCTCAACATTTGGTATGTATTAAGTTCTATGGAAATGCTTATTTAAAAAAAATCAGATTTTGGGGACCAGTAGATGGCATATGTTGCTGGATTCCCATGTCAGCCATTGGTGGTTGAAGTTCTAGACTCAA